ACAGCGACATTACTAGCCAACAGATTCTTTACTGATGCTGCTGCCTCCATTGGTTTTTGGGGGTTCTACAAAAATGCGCAGTTTTGGCCAAAGATCTTACGTCAACCCACTGCTGGTTAGAATTATATTCTATTATCGTTGCTCGCATCTATGAGGCAAATCTGGTCAAGGAAACAAATTACCTTAGCACGCTGCTTGGCTAATTCAGGGAACAGCCAAAGAATTGAGCCTCCAGCACCAATCATAACTGTATCCCCATTTGCAACAAATGGGTAAATCATGACATAGTGTCCCTGACTGAAATGAAGCATCGCATTAGTTTATGCAGGACACTGAGTCATGTGCTCAGCTGTCAGCTACCAATAGGTTATGGGTGCTCGTCAGCCACCCACCAATCACAGCCCATTCTCTCACCAAAGCGGTACATTTAAATCCGACCTCATCTTCACTGATCCCTGGACAGATGTGCAGAACCCCCTGTTGGGTGTAGCAGGCAATGTAACTTTGTTTAGGGTGAATATCCTATATTCATCTTGTTTTATCTTAGCTCGCTGCTTGGCTAATCCAGGGAACAGCCAAAGAATGGAGCCCTCAGTGCCAATCTTAACTGTATCCCCATTTGCAACAAATGGGTAAATCATGACATAGTGTTCCTGACTGAAATGTCATCATTTCAATTCCAGTAGTGGTGCGATAATTGAGCAATCAGAGATAAGCCATACGTCCAGCCTTCATTGGCTCAATGTGGCACTTTAGCTTTTAGTTCATACAAGCACCTAGAGCACTGGTACCAAATTTGGTGAAATTCTGTTAAATTCTAAATTCTAGCACAAATCCAGCACAAAAAATAGTTATGGTCCAACAGGCTCTTTTGTTGAAAAGGCTGATCTTAGTTTGTGTGTGAAATTTCAAGTCAATTGTACTAATTTTGTGAGTGGCGTGGCCTGTTCGATGTGTCCGCGCCACCATGTGGCTGATTGGACTCAAATTTGTTGGGCATTACTTTACATAATTTCCAATGGATGTACCAATTTTTATGTTCCTAGCCCAAAAGATGTTGAAGAAGTCCTGCAAAATATGCAAATATTTAATAGACCATGCCCACTTGCACAAACCAATTCAGCACCTTAGATTTTGGTTCCTAGTTGCCCCCAGTCAGTGGTTACTATGCTACAGATTTTGGGAGTTTTTGGCACCCCCTATTAGCAAAACTCTAAATGCTTTGCGCCGCCTATTTCAGGACTCAATACAAACATATCTACCAAGTGTGATGATGATTGGACAAAATGTTGATGAGTAATGGCAAATGTCCAGTTAAGCTCTGCCCTTTGCAAAACATTTCGGGTTTTTTGACCAATCCTGCTCATTCATAATAGAAATGTGTACGTAAATGGTTTGGCCATTCTAGTATTGATGACCACTCTAAGTGCTTTATATTACAGTTTGCCATCCAAACACAAACACATTCATACAGTGCATCTATTAGCAGCACCTTTTTATTGGTTTAAGGGGCAATTTGGGGTTCAGCATCTTGCCCAAGTACAGTTCGCTATGTAGTTGGGAAGACTGGGGATTGGACCACCGACCTTCTGGTTGGAGGACGACACTAACAAATGATAACAAACCCTCCAGGCTCAAACCTGGATAAACTAAATCAAAATTAACATTACACACCACATGTCAAAATTATTTCTTACAAGGTAAAAGTTCTGCATTTCAAATTTTACTTCATGCCACAATTTGCAAGTTCTGGAAATGAAGATAGTGTGAGACTTAAAAGCAAACCACTCTGTTTATCCTACTCTATGCTATGCTTCATTCAAGTTTGCTAGCTCGTGAGTAAACCAGAGACACTTTTTTCAGTCTCCAACACAATCTTGAAGCCCGGTTTTGAGAGCAGTATTAGATCAGACTACTATACATGTATTGATTAATAGCTGTGATCACCCAACTGTTACAGACTTGTCAATTAAGCAGAGACCCCATTTATACCTGGTATAAGCATCTGTCCTGAGTGATCTGTACAGCTCACATATTATTTAGCATGAACACAAATTAATCCAGGACCACACCAAGGACCACCGACTGAGATGATGTAATCTGACCAAATACCGTTTCATAATGAACCCAAAGAATTTTACACTCAGTGTAAACACTGAGGTATTTGTGGCAATTACCACATTATCAACTTGACCCGCCAAATATTGATTTTCTATTTTTATCAAATACATAAAATCGTATGAAGCAAATTGAAGAGGTGAATCTGTGAATGCAAAAGTCAGAGTGTGAGGCTCCATAGTTTCTGCAGACTTTATCTGCCTGGCATCCTAGTCTAAAGTCAGGAGAACATAGCAGCGGATCCCCTAAGAGAGTGGGGGGGTTGATAGCGCTTCCAATACATGACAGACGCATAAATGAAAAAAAAACATTAAGAAGTCAAATGTCAACCGGTCATACATGTAGAAGACACTGCCGAAGATGTCAAGATAGTTTATGGTGATAAGATCTGATCACAAAATCTTGCGATCTCTTCAGCAGAGTTAATATGTCACAAACTGTGCGTAAACTCTGTGACCAATTCTCCAGATTTAACTACTTTTAGGTCACTCTGCAATGCCAATTATGTGTTATGAATGTTTTAGCTCTACACATGAATGTTGGAGGCCATCTGCCATCAGAGAGTCATTTTCTTTTTTGTTATTTTGTCAATTGCCAAAATTTGCCTAACTTTAAGTGAAGGTGAAAGGCACATATGCAAAAGTTAAGGTAACTGCCGGGTCTGGTATTTCCCAAAGAATACAGAGTACAAGTAAATAAACAGTGTTAGTCAGGCAGTCAATGGGGTGGCTGTGGCTGAGGGGTAGAGCGGAAGTTCAATCCCCAGTCTTCCCATCTGCAAGCCAAAGTGTCCTTAGGCAAGTGGCTGAACCCCATAGAATTGCCCCATAGAACAACAAAAAGTGCTGCTAATAGATGTACTGTATGAATGTGTGTGTGAATGGCTGTAGTGTAAAGCACTTTGAGCGGTCATCAAGACTAGAACAGCACTATATACGTAAATGCAACCATTGTACAGTGTATACGTTTTGGGATTTCTGTGACTCTGCCTCTTCCACAGGCGGCTACTAGATCCAGAGGATGAGCTCAGCGACATCAGGTCAGACTCTGTGCCATCAGAAGTCCGTGACTGGCTGGCTTCCACTTTTACTCGTCAAAGGGGCATCATGCTACGCCAAAATGAAGACAAGCCACGCTTCCGCAGCATTGTCCATGTAGTGCAGGCTGGCATCTTTGTGGAGAGGTTTGGCTATTCGGTTTACTTACAATAAGTATAATGTGTCCATCCGATTCACACTTTGTCACTCGATGACCTGAGGAAGTGTAATGCTATTTGTTTTTATATAGCGCTTCTCTAATCTTGATGACTGGATGACCACTCAAAGTTTTGCTATTCACAAATTTACACGTTTACCATGTAAGGTTGCAACTATACACCAGTGTATAGTTCACAGTGAAAACAGAGTTTCTAATCATATATCCAGATGAATTACAAAGCTTTGATTTTTGAAAAGGTGAACTTGAGTTAGTAACACCAGTTAAGTACATCATTCAAATGTATATATACACCACACATCTGAACAGTAATAAAGTAAATTCATTGTCATTTCATGAAAAACATTAGCTATAAAATCTTCACTGCAGATAAACCAGTTGGGATGAACATATTTTTTTTTACTTAACTCTGCACCATAGCTTGTTAATTAAAAAAACTGTGCACATCACACCCAGCATACAAACAATAAATGGTAAATGGTCTGGTAAATGGTAAATGTTGTGCATTTATATAGTGCTTTACTAGTTTTGATGACCACTCAAATCACAATGTGTGTGAGAGAGAGACACAGGGCGAGCAAGAGAGTGAGAGAGATCGAGCAAGAGAGACAGGGTGAGTAAGAGAGCGAACAAGAGAGAGAGACAGGTTGAGCAAGACCGAGAGAGAGAGAGAGCCTATAGCCTTCCCCTGAAGTTTTTTACATTGACTTTGATATATCTACAGCCTTTCTGAGGTGTGACCTCTCTAATTTGTTAACATGGGCTCGTTTCACAAGCATTTTGTGATGCCACCGCAGCCAGTGTGACCACCTTTTAAGTGTAAAATAAAAATAATAAGAATATAATCATGTGTCATTCATGTCCTGTTGCAATTGCACTTGTATCCTACTTCATTCCTTCAATGGTTTAGTTAACCTAATATCAGCTCCAGGAAAAAGGGATGATGGAGGAAGTGAGCTTAGTGAGGGGAGCAGCAACCCAACTGAAGTCCCTGATGAAGTGGCAGTAAAAGTTAGCTAAGCCAAGGAAGTGTTGGAGAGCCTTCCTGGAAGTGGGTGTGAGCCACTCCTCCACAGCCCGAATCTTCTCTGGGTCCGTCTTCACCTGCCCACTCTCAATGATATAATTGAGAGTAAGAAACTGGAAAGAAACTGATTTGAAGTGAAACATTTCTTGGCCTTCAAGAACAGTTTGTTTTCAAGGAGTCTCTGGAGAACCTGACGGACATAGAGTTGATGCTCAGAGATGTCATGGGAGAAGATGAGGATATCGTCTCGGTAAGGTGCTGATCAGGCCTAAAGGCTAACCAAGTACTCAAAGTGACCAAGTGGGGCATTGAAGGCTGTCTTCATTCATCTCCCTTTTTGACCCATACCAGGTGATAAGCACTAGGCAGATACAACTTGGTGAATACTGTGGACCCCTGCAACGGCTCAAAGGCGGAGCTGATTAGAGGCAGTGGGTATTTGTTTTTAACTGTAATATTATTTAAGCCATGGTAATCAATATAAGGGCGGAGAGTCTTGTCTTTTTTAGCCAGAAAGGAGAATCCTGCCTCCAACTTATTTTCTTATTGGCCAATCAATGTGAGGTTTATGTAGCTTCAGCCAAGGATAGCCTAAAACTAGAGGTGTTTGAGGTGAGGAGAATACATAAAACTGGATGTACTTACAGTGGTTACCAGAAAGGATGAGGAGGAGAGGTTCTGTCTGGTGAGTGACCTGAGCCAGAAATTTTCCATCAAGAGCATGCATTGTTACAGGTTAGTCCAAAGCAACTGAGGAAATGCCAGCCTGATATATAAATTTAATGAACTAAAAATTCTGCTCTGCTCCAGAATCCACTAGGGCTACGGAAGGCAGGGACAGTTGACTCAAACAGAGAGAAGCTTGGATTTCCATATAGGGCGAGAAATTTAGAGGTGCATTAGATTTGGTATCAGTATCCCCACAGCTACTGGCGGGCTGTGTCTTTTGGGTGAAAGGGGCATGCAGCCAGAAAATGGCCTGACTGACCACAATAAATGCATTCACCCGTGCTCAACCTCGTCTGTGGTTCAGCTGGTATGAGATGAGTTTGTCCCAGCTGCACCAGTTCTTCTGTATGATGGGCAGTGATGGAAGAAACACTGGGAACAGGCGATTGACAGAGAGCTGGCGTGTTTGTTTTCCTTCCTGGCATCTCTCTGGCAAACAGTTATCAGTCTTTACAGACAGGGAGATGAGAGAGTCGAAAGAATGAACTTGTCTCATAGAGTCAGTGCATCTGTCATTAGTTAGCACAAATTATTAAATGTACCCCTCTTAGACCTTCGTCATTCTACCCGGACTCTGCTGCAAGAATCCAGAATTCCACAGAGTAGTATGCCACACTCCTCTGTCCCTGACGTAGGTTCAGCAGTCCCTTGACTGTGTCCCCAGCACACACTGGAGGCTGATCTGGGTTACCTGGGCTCCTAGGGCTTTCTGGGTCTCCATCAAATCCTGCAGAAGCTGGTGGTGTTGTCCCAGCAGGTTGCCTTTACTGGATATCGCGTGCTGGGGGGGAGTCTGTCTCTGTTGGGTCCATTGCGTGGCCAGATTGTTCTGTTAGGTTCAATTGATGTTCAGACCCAAAATGCAGGACAGACTTAAAGATACAGTTTAATAGTTTATTGGAACTGAAAATAATGTCTCTGCCCGAGGTCTGCCATCAACCTCTAGTGACATGCTCCACTTAGCTGCCCGGTGTCTGGTCTTGTGTGGCAAGCCTGGATTGGCCCCTAACCTTCCCGGCCAAATGCTGTTGCTGCACAATGGAGTGAAGGAGGAGGACATTTAAGGTTGGTTTTGCAACCCTGCAGGATGTGTTTTTAGTGTAGCTGGCATTGGACAGAGGGAGCATGTGTGGTCTTCTCTCTAACACCTTGATGGTGAAGCTTGTTCTGAATGTCGTTCTGAATCGCCTTTCAGGAGATCTTTCGCTTTTGAACTCCCTTCCATCTCATTCATTGTTCTTGACTAGCCTGTGCGACAGCCTTCAATTCAATTCAATTTTATTTATATAGCGCCAATTCATAATTTACATTATCTCAAGGCACTTTACATTTAAAGGTCAAGACCTTAAAACAATATTAACATAGAGAAACCCAACAGTTCCCACAATGAGCAAGCACAGGCGACTGTGGAGAGGAAAAACTCCCTCATTAACAGGGAGAAACCTCTGGCAGAACCAGGCTCAATGTGGGCGGTCATCTGCCTCGACCGGTTGGGGTGAGGAAAGAAAAGTAAGGGGGGAGGAAAGGAGAGATGGGTGGAAAGCGGGGGAGAGAAGAGAGATGAGGTGGAGAGAGAGAGACCGGTAACAATTTGGCACCATCAAAATCAAGGCTAACCATAACAATAACAATGTATAGATCTACAACATGACTAGATATATTAATAAATTGCTGAGTTCTTGTAATAAATGCAGACAATGGTGATGGTGGTCGTTGTGGTCCTGTAGTCCCGGTGCCGGAGTTATCTGAAACGAGATAGAGAGAAGAGCCAGAGGGACTATGGGAGGACAAAGTGACACTTTGACATGATGACATGTTAAAACTAATAAATAAATAAATAAATGAGTGTGGGGGGGCAGAGAGACAGAGAGACAGAGGGAAGTGAAGAAGTGCTCAGTGCATGATGGGCGTTCCCCCAGCAGTCTAAACCTATTGCCTTATTCTGCTGGCATATATTTTGTACCACAACCCTGCACCTCTGAGGAAGAGTAGCATTGTTCCAGGTTGGTGTGCTGGTCCAAAGGCCAAGACCACGATCATGTGCCCATGATGTGCCATGTCCCTGTGCTTGAGCGCTGCCTTTGCCTGTGTGGTGGAAATTTCTGTGAAACAAGCACACAGTCAAACACTTCTATCTGTAAGTTTAATTCAGCATCTGCAGATGGACTCATCAGTACACATCACCTGAATGACATGCACATATGAGCAAAGAACATCGGAGAATCTGTGTACTTATATCTCACAGCCTCGTCCCACTAAGTGTCATGGAGATGGGATGCAGGGAGAGGGTAAGGGAGCAGGTGGACCAAAAATGCAGAACCAAAAGTATGCAACCAAAAGTGTCCTTTAATTTCAGGCGGGTGAAAGTAACAAATAGAAATCTCCAAGAACTCAAAATGCTCTCAGGCAAAACAGGGGAGCAACACAGGAAAATACTTGAAACACTGACAACATACAGGGAACGTGGCGAGAGGTGACACAACACATGGACATGGCAAGGGCGTCCAACAAGACAAACTGACAAAAACATGGGGGTGCACAAAGACTTAAATACACATTGAACTGATGAGTAACTAGAGACAGGTGGCACAGGACAAACAGGTGAGCCTTACTAGGGCAGGACGTCTAGGGGGGAAAACACACCAGGAGCAGAGACTACAAAATAAAACAGGAATCAGAGGAACACTGAGAGGAACTCGGGTTGAAGCACAGGGTGGAACATAGAAAGAGGAACACAGTGATGAACACAGCAAGGCACACAGGAGAAGCACAGGGTGGAACACAGAGGGGAACACAGAGAGAAACACACGGTGGAACACAGGGTGGAACACAGAGGAACACAGAAGGGAACACGAGAGGAACGCAGGGTGAAACATAGAAAGTGGAAGACAGAGATGAACACAGCGAGGCACACAGGAGAAGCACAGGGTGGAACACAGAGGAACACAGAAGGGAACACGAGAGGAACGCAGGGTGAAACATAGAAAGTGGAAGACAGAGAKSAACACAGCGAGRCACACAGGAGAAGCACAKGGTGGAACACAGAGGGGGGCACAGAGAGCAACACAGGGAGACACACAGGAGAAGCACATGGTGGAACACAGAGGGGAACACAGAAGAGGGACAAAGAGGGGAACACAGGAGAGGGACACAGAACGGGATGCAGAGAGTGGGACACAGAGTGGGACACAGAAAGGACCAGAGTGGGACAC